CTTTCTCCAATAAATGTCAGAACTAAGGTGTGAAGTGATAAGTGATTGTTTACTTTGTTAAATATTAATATTATTGCTAATACTAGTGTTACTATTTTATTTATTATAATTAATGAATAAATTATGTTGGGTCACTTTTTTATACTGTTTTAATTGCTAACTTCTTTGTTTAACATAGTTACCTATTACCAGGAAAGAGTTTAAGCAGAAATATTTTTAACATTTAAACACCAGTTTAACAGTGCTTTTTCTCTTGTAGGTTTTGCAGCCCTGTGACTTATTTTATCAATCTTCTCAGATAGGTGCAGATCCACAAGTGATTGATATATCAGTAAAATCCCTTACACTAAAGGTAAGTTAAAATATAATCATTTTAAAAGTGTTTGGTGGTATAGGTCTGCAGTCTCAGCTACTTGAGAAAGAGAAATTGCAAGTTCAAGACCTTGCTGGAAGAGCACATTGTGTTCAAGCCCAGCATGGACAATTTAGCATGACCCTTTTTATCATTACCCCCATCAAAAAACGAAGGTCTGAGCATATAGCTCATTGATAATCTTCCTGTGTAGCATTCACAAGGCCCTAGGTTCAATTCCTAGCTCATGAAATAAATAATAAAAGTGTGTGTGTGTGTGTGTATGTATGTGTATGTGTATGTGTATATGTATGTGTATGTGTTTATGTATATATGGGCTGGATGTGGTGACTTATGCCTTTAAATCCCAGCACTTGGGAGGCAGAGGCTGGTAGATCTCTGAGTTCCAGGCCAGCTGGGACTACAGGGAGACCCTGTCTCAAAAAGACCGAAAAAAAGTATGTATATACGTCTTTTATAAACTGAAAATATTAGTAAGATATAAGTAACAAGAAATAATTATTGTTAAACACAAATGAGTATTTTTAAAGTATATTTATGAGTCATTTATGAAATTATATATTTTGTAATGAAATATTTTATTGACATTTGATTTTGTAGTTAATATATAATGTCCCTATAGTATATATAATTATAATTTTTCTTAATCCATTTAATAGTAACAAGATTCACAGAAATATTTTAACAAAGTTGGCTAAAAATATTTTGTAGGCAATAAATTACACCTACTTTCCTGTGGCAGTATTGCTAGTTTATTATTAATTCTTTATGTTCATTCAGGAAATATATTAATCTATTTTTAACTTTTTCCTTCCATTTAGGTTTCACCAGTTATCATAAATACCATTATAACTATAACTTCAGCACTTTATACTACTAAGGAAACCATCCCAGAAGAAAATACTTCTTCTATAGCACATCTGTGGGAAAAGTTGGATACAAAGAATTTAAAAATGTGGTTTCTTGAAGAATCAAATGAAACAGAAAAAGTAGTTCCCACAAATGAATTGGTACTCAGAGGAGAGATGATGAAAATGAACATTGAGTCTATTTTTATAGTTCTTGAAGCTGGAATTGGTCATAGAACAGTGCCCATGCTATTGGCAAAATCACGCTTTTCAGGGGAAAGCAAAAACTGGAGCACCTTAGTAACTCTCCACTGTCAGCTTGAACTAGAAGTAAGCACATACAGTATTTTTCAGTTTTTAATAATGCTTTACATTATACATTGTCAGAATATTAGTGTAGCTATTTAAATTGAGTTAATTGTAAATAACGATACTGGCTTAATAAGTTTTAGAAGAAAGTTTAAAATTTTTTCCTTGAGTGGTTTCTTTCATCTGTCCATTCCTTCTACTTTTTTAAAAATTTTAAATTAAAAAAAAATGTTATATGAGGCCAGGCATGGTGGCGCACACCTTTAATCCCAGGGCTTGGGAGGCAGAGGCTGGTGGATCTTTGTGAGTTCGAAGCCAGCCTGGTCTACATAGTGAGTTCCAGGACAGCAGGGGCTACAGGGAGACATTGTCTCAAAAAAACAAAAAGTTATGTGTATGACTTTTAGGCTGCATGCATATTAAATACACTACTGTGTCATACAGTGCCCATGGAGGCCAGAGAGGGTGTTGGATCCCCTGAAAGTGGAGTTTAGGGATAATTATTAGCTACCATGTGGGTGTTGTGATTCAAACCTGGGTCATCTACAAGAGCAGCCAGTGATTTTAACCATCGTGCCATCTCTCCAGCCCCCTATTTTTACTTTTGAAGTACTCATGCATGCATTATATTTCAACTCGTTTTTATCAGCTTAAAGGGTGATACATTAATGACTGGAGAGATGACTCAGTGGTTAGAAGTGCTTCTTGTCCTCCAGAGACCAGATTCATTTCTCAGCATCAACATCTGGTGACCCACAACCATATGTTAACTTCAGCTCTAGGGGAACTTAGTCCTTTTTCTGGCCTATTCCAACACATACATGCACAAGGCACACAATACGCAAACACAAATAAAAATAAATCTTTTTCTAAAGATAATGCATTAATAGACAGTTGTTTAGACTAAAAATTCTTATATAAAGAATTTTTTTTTAAAGCAGGGTTTCTCTGTAGCCACAACTGATCTAGACTTTGCATTGTAGACCAGGCTGGCCTCAATCTTCTAGAGATCCGCCTTCCTCTGCCTCTTGCCTCTTGATACTGGGATTAAAGTCTTGTCAAAATTCTTTTTTTTTCTTTTTTTTTTTCTTTTTGAGACAGGGCTTCCCTATAGCCCCAGCTGTCCTGGAACTCACTATGTAGACCAGGCTGGCTTCGAACTCACAAAGATCTGCCTGACTCTGCCTCCCAAAGTGCTGGGATTAAAGGTGTGCACCACCACAAAATTCTTATTTTTTAAGAATTAAAATTGAATAGTTTTTCCTTACAAGGATAGATTAATTTTAGGAACACATGGATAATCTCTTTTAATAGTTTGACTACAAAGAGTTACTTCTGTGGGTATTGCTGTGTAGTAGAGTGCTTACCTAATGTGTGAGGTAGAGTGTTTACCTAATGTGTGAAGCCTTGGTTTCAAGTTCCAAACCCAGGGGGGGGGGAAAAAGAGGAACCAGAACATTTTACCTCAGAATTTATCCACATCAAATGACTTCCATAGGTACTTTAGTTAAAATTAATTAAGAAATAGGCTGGAAATAGACCAGTGGGAGGGCACTTGCCTAGCATGCCTGAGTCACTAATTTAATTCCAGCCCTGCATCAAAAGCAAACAAAAAAGAAAATTTGCATATAATAATCTCCAGTGATAGTATAGTTAAAATGAATTATTTGACTTCATATATCGGAAAATAATCTGGTATTCTACCTTACAAAAGTAAACATGAAAGTTTAAGCGTTTTTGTGTGAATTGCTATAGAATTATGTATAAACAAAGAAGTAATTAGCTATAACTAGATTGTGGATTTTTAACTTGTGACGAGAATTATGTATATTTTGAAGAGGATCTGATCTAGAATATCCAGGGGTACAGGGTATTCAAATAGTCTTGAATGGTATGGTATCTGCCTTCAAGGAAATTCAGTCAATGGAGATAGATTGTAAAGTTTTAAAATGTCGGTAATATGTGATAGACGAATACAAGTTTTGCTGAATAGTCTAGGATGAATATCAAAGAACGGCGCTTTAAAAGGGTTCTAGTGCTTGCAGCATGGCTCCGTGGGTAAAGGCTCTTACTGTCAAGCCTCACAGCCTGAGTTTTTTCCCTAGGACCCACATCGCAGAAGAAGAGAGAAAAACCAGCTCCCCACCAGTTGTCCTATAACTGAGGCATGCTCATATATACATAATAAATAAATGTTTCATGAAAGGGTTATATTAGACCAAAATGTTATGGTAGAATGTGGAATATAAAGTTAGCTGTGGAATGCATGCTGGAAAGTTTTTATGTAGAAGTACTAACACTGTCAAAAGGCATCATGAAAAAATTGTTTTCAATAACAATAATCTATTAAGATTAAAAATTCTCTTTTAAGGTTCATTATTATAATGAAATGTTTGGTGTTTGGGAACCATTACTCGAACCCTTAGAAATTGATCAGACTGAGGATTTTAGATCATGGAATCTTGGAATCAAGGTATTTATGAGTGTGTGTGTGTGTGTGTGTGTGTGTGTGTGTGTGTGTGTGTGTGTGTGTTACAGGAGTTTCTGGTTTATAGCAGAAATAAGCAGTTGCAGTTTTTCCATATATCCTCCCACTTTGCATGTCCATAACTTCATTATTGACATCTATAATCAGAAAAAAAGGTTTCCAAATCTTCTGAACATGTCCATTTTACATCATATCAAAGCTGAACATTTTTTTGTGAACCTTGCCTACATGTTTCCTTTTGTGACTTCAATATAATTTTCAAGTCTAATGCCAGCAACAATTACCATGCTAATTCTAATAATTATTTAGCATGAATTATGTGCTATACATTGTTCTGAATAATGTATACTTGTTTAAATTCATATATTAACCCCCTGAAAAAGGACACGTTTTACTCTACTTTGAGTATGAAAAAGGACTTTGTCCAGAAAGTAACAGACTTTGAAATGCTGGCTTACTAGTTGAGACCCACTCTTAACCACTGTGTTGCAAGTGCTGTCATTTTCTTTTAGGTTCTCCATCCTAAGTTTTATTTGTCCTTTGAATTTTTTTATTTAATTATTTTTTCTTTTTTCTTTCCTCTGTATTCCTTCCTCTTCACTGCTTTTCTCTTCCTATTTTTCCTCCTCTGTCCTTATCTAATCTGTCTACTTATCTATTGAAGATTATATGTGATTTTCTTGGAATATATTGTTAACTTACATAATCATGAGAATCAGTGCCTTTAAGTAGATGGAAGTGTGTTTGTGAAGCATGGTCACCAGCATGTTATCTATGATGGAGTCAACTTGTAGACATATTTTTAGGGGCTAAAAGCAAGGTAAAATAACAAAAATGACTAGCCTGTCATGTTCAGCATATTATATTAAATGATTTAATTCTCGAGGTATTTCAGTTACCTGAGGATTTGAATAAAGGAATTCCGTTGACTGTTTTTAGATCAGAAAATACATGGGCAGTAAATCTATGAATTCTGAAAAGAAGAAAATAATATTCATTGTTAAAAATCCTGGCTTCACAGCTCTGTTCTGCACTTTTATCTGGCTTTGTAAGCCCCTAGTTTCTCTCTCTCTCTCTCTCTCTCTCTCTCTCTCTCTCTCTCTCCTTCTTTTCACTCTCTCTCTCTCTCTCTCTCTCTCTCTCTCCTCTCTTTCTCCCTCTCTCACTAAACTACTTTTCTTGACTTTTACTGTAAAGTATATGCTTTTAACTTACATGTGGATGTCACATAACACTCAATAGTTCTCAATCAACAAGGATGAGAATTTATATTCCTATAGTAGTTTCCTTGCTCAGCTTTGTGATATTACTTAGCATGTCCAAGAAATTTCAGTGTGCAATGTGACACATAAAATTTATAGCTTTTTCTAATGGCATTTTCTAAGGTTTATTTTTACTTTGAAGACTAAGTTATATTGTACTCTTAAAAGCAGACGTTTTTCTATATCATTTTAATTTTATCATTTTAGATTAAAAAGAAAGCAAAACAGGCCATTGTTGAGTCAGATGCTGAAGAAGAAAACTACAAAGTGCCAGAATATAAAACTGTCATCAGTTTTTACTCCAAAGACCAATTAAACATTACATTATCCAAATGTGGCCTTGTAATGTTAAATAATTTAGTCAAGGTAAGAAAACACAAATGTTTGAATCTTTAAATGTTGAGATTTTAGTCTAAACTGACCCTAAAGGTGAGTAAATACTCTTCAATCTGTCACATTTATACAACCCACATTTCATCTAAGCAAACTTTACCTTATTAGGCATTTACTGAAGCTGCTACTGGATCTTCCACTGTCTTCCTAAGGGATCTAGCACCATTTATGATTTTAAATTCTCTTGGACTTACTGTCTCTGTGTCAACAAGTGATTCTTTTAATGTACTCAATGTTCCTATGGCAAAATCATACACACTGAAAAATGAAGAGAGTTTAAGTATGGACTACGTCCGAACAAAGGACAGTGACCATTTCAATGCAATGACCAGCCTGAGCAGCAAGCTCTTCTTCATTCTTCTTAGTAAGTGATTTATTTCCTCTCTGGGCCTTTATTTTACTTTAATACATACATATATATTATTGAATTTTGTGAATCATGCTTTCTACTTTCTACAAGCCTTTTCATCTTTTTTTGCAGATAAAAGTATATTATTCCTTAAATTACTATAAAAGTCTTGTCATTGTCCTTGTGTACCACTCTCTGATGTTCTAATGTTTCAGTACGAACTGAAGAGGTAGTATTCAGGTAGCATTTGAAAGGTTAATTAGACATGGAAGGCTGTAAGAGATTAGTTATTCTAATCAGGAAATAACACTTAACACATTTTGGGTGTTATGAGAGCATTGTCAATGATATGTAGTCATCAATTTTACTTCTTTGTGAACTAACATTCTTAAGACTAGAGGAGTTAAATTTATGTGAATAATTAATTTCACTCCTAATACAATGTTTGTACTGATAAAATAAATATGAAATTTTGTTCAATAAAATCTAAGTTAATTCTTAGTGGTAGCATAGAGAATTAGGACATTAAAATGAAAAAATTAATTACCTCGGTACGGTCAATATTTCTTTGAAGATATTAAGCTATGGTTATTATGCAAGCAAACTGAGATCATTTGTCTTGTATTCTATAAGCGTTCTTCTCATAAATCAGTTACTTTTAAAAATGTTACTGTTTTAGGTTAAATTCCTGAGTGAGATTTTTTCAATTAAATTATGTTTAAACAAAATGTTTTAAAGATTTTAGGTGAATGCTTTGGAGGTAGGTGGTACCTTATTAAAAGATCCGTTTATTGAGATTTTTTCAAATAAATTATGGTTAAACAAAATGGTTTAAAGATTTTAGGTGAATGCTTTGGAGGTAGGTGGTTCCTTATTAAAAGATCCGTTTATGTTGGTTATATCCAATGACTAAAGTGACTTTTGATTAGAAGGCCCCCTTAATTAAGTATTTAGCATATCTTTAAAATTAATATAGTAAATTATAAAAATTCTCAAACATCTGCATTTAATTTAGCACCTGCTAACCACTCTACTGCTGATAAGATTCCTTTAACAAAAGTGGGACGACGGCTATACACTGT